GCTTTCTGCAGCTACTCCGTACACTTGCGGGTAGTGAATTTATTTTGCGAACAAGTCATATGCAAGTACATGGCCAAAAGACACATCAAACTATTCTCCTACTCATCACTATACTCATGTGCACACCTATCATAAGCCGCCAGGGGTAAGCCCAAACTCGTCAGCGGGAGTACAGTCGTGCCGAAGTGCAAAAACAACGGTCACGGCCCATCAACTAGGCTAAAATGAGTCAACCCACCATAAGGTTGGAGATCGCCCACCACTAGGCACCGTCTCATGACTCACACATACATTCATAGACATAAAGTATAAAAATCTTACCTCAATTATAACATAGCAAATTTTATATTAAACCCACCTGGAAAATCAGGGAAGAATATCACGCAAAAGCAAGCACGTAGGTCGAGGGCTCGATTCCTCAAACACCTACATTTAAGCGAGATAATATATCAACAATATATCTCACTACTAGAATTTAACATAAAACCCATACTTAATAAAAATTAAGTCTTAGGGGTTTTAATCAGATTTTTTGTGGACTTGGAACTCTCTCATTTTTGAAAAATATGACTCGGAGGACAAAATTAAAGTTTCGAGACTTCAAATAATTTTTCCAAAATTTTATTATTTTGAAAATATTTTTAAAATTGAAATCGGTACGAAAAACGGCTTTCGGAACACAAAATTGGGCCAAAAAGTTAACTGGGTCACGCTGGCTAGTTCCTAGCACTCTGGGCTGCGAAATTGGGCCAGAAAACTTGGCCCAAAGCTCAAAAGGCTAAGGCCACGCAGGCTGCTCAAGGGCTCGCGGGCCAACAATCGGGCTCACGGGCTGTGCATTGCTGGGAGATGATCGGGCTGAGGGAGTGGTTGGCCGAACAAAATGGGCTGCTAATATTGGGCCAAGGTAGATGCTGGTTGTGGGGCAAAATAAATAAAATAGGTTGTAGGGAGTGGGATTCGAACACAGAACCACACACACAAATATGCACTTGGAAGACCATTGCGCCAACTGCCTGGATGCAAACTTCATTGAAATCAAATAGTACTGTATAACAACAAAGGCCTGCGATTTGAAACAAAAGAACAGAACCGAGGACCTAATAACAGGAGCTGAGAAATTGCTAGCAGACTGCCAGAATTTCCCCCAAACTCGACGATGACATCACCAACGACAACCAGATTCGAGATATTATCAAAATAGCATAATTTTCAGAGTTCCGAAACATGTTTTTATTAAGGGTTTTGGCTCGAAAACGGAACAACCAAAAATAAAAGTAAAGAGGACGACCGGGAGTTCGAATGACCCGAACAACCTAGCGACGACTCGAAACAACAAAACGAGACTCCGAACTTATGCACATTTCTCACAGTAACACAACGATATTCGCGTTTATAAAATCGAGAGTTTCCAAAAATCCACGAATAAACAAAATATACACACAAACAATTAAGTGAACCAAAAACAATCCGACTTCAAATCAGTTTTCGGTAAACCGAACACACGATATATATAACATGTAATATATCAAAACGACCGCAATAAAGAGAGGATTCGGATAAGTTACCCGACTTCGGGAAACTACAAGTGATCGAACGGGAAACGGGGCCGACAGCGGGTCGGACGGACAGCTTTGGGACTCGGAACCTTCCAAACGCGGAAATTGTAGGTTGCTGAATCTCAACGGCACGCCGACTCTGTTGTGCGAACGTCGTCAACGAACAGGGACTCTGATGAAGGTATCGTCGGAAAGAACAGTGAGAGCCGGTGACACGCGAACGGAGCTTCGCCAGTAACGATGGTGGATGGTTGCAGCTTCGCGACGCGGTTGCTGGGGTCGGCCGACTTCTGCTGCGCGACTGAGAGGGTTTCTCGGTGAGACGCCGATGAGGACTCCGCCGGAAATAATGGCGGTTCACCGGAATTTTGAAGGAACGCACTTTGAACAGAGAGAAAAGATGGAGGATTGAATTGGTGCGGGTGAAGTAAAGAGAAGGATTGAATGGTTCTAGGAACTCTTCTGCCAAGATATAAGGACGATCGATTGAACGTGCGATCGTGCGAGATATTTCACCCAAAAGAATCGCCACCAAAATTTTTATCAGATAAAGAAGATGGACTTGGTCGCGCGGTGGGAGAAGAAGAAAAAGGAAAAATCTGCGGCTCCTCTACATTGATTTGGGCCTTAATACCTTTGGGCTAAAATAACCAAAGATTGGGTCATCCCTTAATATCATTTGAGCTGAAATGTTTAATAAATTGGGCTGGGATTTAAACATAAGACTAGTTTGGAAAAAGGCTCGAATACGATCGCGACGGCAATACGGATTAAAAATAAAACCGGAATTTATATATATTTTAAAAATACAAGAATTTAAAATAATAGACAC